AATAAATTTAAGTGGTTTATTGTGACGAATCTTTTATGATTTAATGTAATTTTTGTGTCAAAATTATATATTCTAATTTTAAAAATTAATATTAGTAACTAATATTTTAAACTAGTAACAAATGTAAAAGACATTAGTGACAAACTGAGAATTAGTTATTATTTTCAATCACAAGAGCTTTTTTCTTTGTAGTGTATGTCATTATATAATTAACTATTTTCATTTAAGGATTTATATATAATATTGTATGCACTTATTTTATGAAAATTGGGCTAGGTGGAGTAGTCCTCATTCTCACTTGCTTGTATTTAATATATACTTACTATGAAATTTTCTCATTCAACACGCCACTAGTTTAGGAACTTACACTCTTGCACTAGCAAGTGAATCTTGGAGTTTTGGTGGTAAATAGAATCAAAACTTTTTCTATCTACCTAAGGGAAGATCTATTCCCTTTCACATGCAAGCCCTAATAATATCAACTTCGAGTCCTGTTCGGTGGTAATATGCTCTCTTACATATAGGTGGGCTAATAACAATTCTCCTAAGAATAAAGATTTTTATCCAATCTAAAATTAATTACAATAAGTAGTATATCTTTCATTGTATTTATCTCACATACTTTTTTATTGTATATTTAATATGAGAATTTTTTACCCAATACATTTATTTAATATTCATATTATATTTATTTAATACCACATCATAATCATAAATTTCTAATTTTACTTAATATTATAATTATAACACTACACATTAGAAAATACTAGAAAACAGAGATTGGTGGATGCTTTCAATTGTTCAATCTCTTGCATCTGAATTCTGACCACAAAAAAAGGGGAAATTAGTACGAAGAAAAAATAATAATTAAATTAAGGGGAAAAGGAGATATTTTGGATAAATAATTAGGCCTCTTGGAAATATGGCCTTTTCTTTGTTTTGCAGCTGTTGTTATGTTCTGCTGACCCAGTTTTTCCCTTGCATCATTTTTTTTTTCTTTGGACATACAGTATATTTATTAATTAAATACTAATTAAAGGTTGCTTCTCAAACATGCCTACATCAAATGATTTGAAAAAAGATCAGTAGTCAAGTGAGTGGAATTTTCTTGTTTTTTATCCACTGCAGAGGTACCTAACACACAGTAATGATGAGGAAAGATAAGATTAATAATTTATTTTTTATATAAAAAAAGTAGGTTTTCAAAAGCAAAAACAATTTATCTAACAGTCACTTATTTTCCTATCATACCCCCCATCGAGACAACACCCAAAAAAGAAAAGCCCAAATTTTAGATGAAAAAAAAGTAGGCATCTTTTCTTTTTTTTTTTTTTCTTTTTTTTCTTGGGTATAGATCATGAGAGTTGATTGTCCTTAAATCACATCGATTTCTCTCTCTCTTCAAGAACACAGCAAGAAACTGAGTCTGACAAAATCACCAAGCCATAAACCTAAAAAGATTGCTTTTGCTTCCATGATAGCTAGACATGTGTTCGGATGGAATATAGGTAGCTTCTCTTCCTGAACTCCTCATGTCTGTTTTCAAACCATAATTGGATATATATATTTGGGTACTATGACTGTCTCTGCAACACCGATCCCTTTGATGTGTTCCTTTCCGCTTTTTTATTCATTTTCAGCTCATCCTCTTTTCTTTCACATGCTTAATTTCTTTCTCTCTCCCCCTCTCCCTCTCCCCTAGCTATATAAATTATTCTCCCATCACAGTTTAAACCTTTCTCTATCTTCTTCAATATTTTCATAGTTTTTCTTTTTTTAAATCTTTTCAGGTCCATGTGATGTTCATCAAATCATGTTGGATGAAGAAAAATATGGTATGGACGCAGACTACAACGTGTTTTTGGAGAACTGATTTGTAGTTTCCGTACATATATAGTTTTTTGAGTTTGAGATCAGGACAGGATGGCAACGTACTTTCATGGGGGTTCAGAATTCCAAGATGGGATGCAGACTCTGTATCTAATGAACCCCAGCTACGTACCTTACCCTGACACACACCCACCAGCTGCAGCCGCCAACATGCTGTTTCTTAACCCTGCCGGCAACGCGCTCAACGCATCAAATCTATCGCACGCGCCATCACCCTCCAACCATCATCAGTTCGTCGGCCTTCCTCTGCCGACACCCACCGTTGCCATCGGACCGCCCAATTCAGATGGGATGGTCCCCAGCGTCCAATACAACTTATGGGGATCAAACGTGGACCAGAATTCACCAGGACACCACCCACAGATTGTGTCGGCAGCAAGTCCTGGTGGGGCCCATGATGTTTCTTCTCATCAGCTGGGGGTGAGGCGTCCGGTGGTATCACCGACGAGGCAGGGTCTGTCGCTGAGCCTGTCGTCCCAACAGACACCTTACAGGACGTCAAGTAATGTGGAGCCGGCGATTCAGGGTCAAGGGCACTCTGGTCATTCCCCTTCGTCTGTTTCTGCGGTGTCGAGTGGGGTTTCTGGTATGCAAAGTGTCGTGCTGGGGTCAAAGTACTTGAGAGCTGCTCAGCAGCTTCTTGATGAAGTTGTTAATGTGGGGAAGGCAATAAAGAGTAACGTGGCAGAGGGGACCAAGGAGAAGATCATAAAGATGGACAAAGAATCTGCAGCCGCTGCGACGGGAGAAGGATCGAGTGCTGCAGGCGGTGAAGATAGCTTCAATAAGCGAGCGGCGGAGCTGACCACCGCCCAGAGACAGGAGTTGCAGATGAAGAAGGCAAAACTTGTTAATATGCTTGATGAGGTACGTACGTAGATTTGTATACACATCTTGCGCTGCTTTCCCTTATGTAATTAATTAACAAGCATCGATTAATTTAATTTGTTGTTTTTCTTTTAAAAAAAAAATTATTTTAAAGAGTAGAAGTTACAATTGAATCTACAAATCATGCTACCATATATATGAAGTATAAGATATAGTCCAAATCATCATGTCAGATACTCCAAATCATTGACTATTATTCAAGTCTTGCTATTGCTTTTTTATTTTTTTTAAACTGAAGCTAAATAATTCTTGCTATTGCCTTCATTAAACACGTAGGATAATATTTGATAATGTATAGATTTGGCTGGTTGGGTAATTTTGGGACCCTTGAAACGTTGATATGTCGTAAAATATATTTCTTTTTTTATTTAAAAAAAGAAAAAGAAAAAAGAAAAGACATTATTACTATATGATATATATGTTGTGTTGAAATTTGTACTGATTTTGTATTCCTGTTATGGAATTAATTTTGAAGGTGGAGCAAAGGTACAGGCAGTACCATCACCAAATGCAGGCTGTAGTGTCTTCGTTCGAGCAGGCGGCAGGTCTTGGTTCTGCAAAATCATACACTGCACTTGCTCTGCAGACTATCTCCAAGCAATTCCGGTGTCTAAAAGACACGATCTCTGGACAAATTAAAGCTACAAGCAAGAGTCTTGGGGAAGAAGATAGCTTGGGAGTGAAGGTCGAAGGTTCGAGATTAAGATACGTTGACCATCAACTTAGACAACAGAGGGCACTGCAACAGCTAGGAATGATACACCACAACGCTTGGAGGCCCCAGAGAGGATTGCCTGAACGAGCTGTTTCTGTTCTTCGTTCTTGGCTTTTTGAACACTTCCTTCATCCGTAAGTAACTGTTTTTATTAACACATATGATTCTCTAATTTCTAAGTCACGAATTCTACATAGACTAATAATTAGCATGTAGACTATATATATTCATTTGAGACTTTTTTCCTTTTCTTTTTTGACTTTTGATTAATTGCAGATACCCTAAGGATTCGGACAAACATTTGCTTGCTAAACAAACTGGGCTTACAAGGAGTCAGGTATGCATTAATTCCCCTTTCAAATATTTAGTTTTGCATATTTTCTTTCCTCATATATTGTAATTAAAGTGTTGAAATTCAATTTAGGTGAATCACTAAGATACTATAGGATTCGAACTCCATGCATCAATCAATTCGTATATGTCAATTTTTTGTGCTCATCAGAGAATAGTACTTATTAATCACCTATTTAATCTGACTGGAAATGCAGGTGTCTAACTGGTTTATAAATGCTCGAGTTCGTCTTTGGAAGCCAATGGTTGAAGAAATGTACGTGGAGGAAATGAAGGAACAAGAGAAAAATGGCAATGAGGAGGGTTCAAGCAAAAATGAACATAATGACTCAGGGTCCATTTCCGCTGTCATGAAAGAGAGTGTTTCCCATAAAATGGACCACGCTACCCAACCAAAACCTGGAAAACCCAGAAACCCCAGCACTACTTGCCAGATTGATTTTTCAAGTGCTCCAATATCCACTTCCGCCATGGCATCCTTTGAGCCACAGGCCACCGGGTTTAATCTGATTGGAGCCCGTGATATGGAAGGAGTTGCTCACAGAAGTCCCAAGAAACCAAGGAGCGTTGACATGCAGAATTCCCCCAGCAGCATCCTCTCAATGGATATGGACGTGAAATTTCAAGGGGATGAAAGATTAATAACCAGCAGTACTGATCATCGCAGTGGTGGTTTTGGTTACCCAATTGAAGACCAGATGGGAAGGTTTAATACAGAGCAGCAGCTGCTGCCAAGGTTTCATGGAAATGGTGTTTCTCTCACACTAGGCCTCCCCCATTTCTCGGGGAACCAACAGAACTTCCTCGCCGAGCAGAACATTCAGTTGGGAAGGAGGCTGGGTTTAGGTACCGGCGAGTCTGATTTCTGCGGGATTAACACGGCATCGGCTTCTCATTCCGCCACAGCTGGTTACCAGAACATTGAAATGCAGAGCAGGAAGAGATTTGCGGCACAGTTGTTGCCAGATTTTGTGGCATGAAGGATTTATATTAGAATGCATGCTAATTAAGAATGTGAAGTTCATTACTTCCGATTTATATATATATCCTGCTGGCTCTTAGGTATAAAAGAAGCGTGGTAAAGAAAATAGTTTAAGGTGTATAGCTGAAGGAGAACAAGCTGCTACTGTTCTTACATAGTTTAATTTAGGTTTGAGTTGGTAAGATTGAGCATTAATGTATATGTCAATATTGGATCATTTGGGTATAGAGTCTATAGACATATTGGAAGATTAATTACGAATAAATAAATAACTGGCTATTTGGGTAAACAAAATCAATAATTTATGAATTGCAATTTATGAGTTTGATTTTTTTTTTAATGTACAATTAACATTTTGAGTAATTAGGTGATTGGTAAGGTTTAAACTTCTAATTTTAATCTTAAATTAAAAATATTAAATCAATAAGTATTAATTCAATTAAACTCTTAATATAATTTAAAATTTTGATCATACAAATGACTTTTTTTTTTTGGTTCAAATGATAACCTATACAATAAATGATAGTTCCCTATCTCAAACTTTTTTTCGATTATTTTAAGATTTGTATTTAAGTTAAGGAAGGGGCATAAACATGACTTCTTTTCTAATAAAAGAGATTATTATTTTGTAGTTTGTTTTGTATAAACTCATAATTTATAATTATTAATCAAAGGATATTATTTTAATATCAAGAGATTCATTCTTTATTAATAATTATAAAATATGTAAACTGCACAAGATGAGGTGCACATCATTTTACTAATAAACTACAAAAAAAACCCCTTTACTATATAGTTCTCTTCATCCATTC